TCTCATGAAATCTATGTAATTCTTATAAACTTAACACTTTGATATTAAATAAGGATACCGCAAATAATATCGAACACCTATCAGAGACTGACAGTGGGGAAAAGGATCACCTAGTTAATTTTAAAGACTTATAAGTTTCTAAATAATTTCTAGTTATTGTGACAGTTGACTGAAAAATTCTGCAGGAAGAAGGCTTAACTATCCATTGCAACGATCATAGTTATAGTAAAGTAGATGTCTTATAGTCACTGGTCTCACCTGTTTTGTAAGTGTTTCAAATATTCCCAATAAATTACGCTGCGTATTAAACGTTACATAATTTAACACTAAATAAATAAACACACGCTTATTTGCACACAGAAAAATCCAATGAGATTTTATTTTCGCGTCATTAAACTAACTGTCACAGGAAATTCTATACTAAAACTGCCGTTTTACAAATATTTCAGTTCTCTATTTACAGCTTAGTGCTTTGACGGTTCGGCGGCAGAATGCTCGCCATCAGCGTAAGCACGAAGTCCGAGCTCGATTCCTCGTTGGCAAACTCCTAAATCTCACTAATCTGCTGATAGCTTTTTTTATTCCTTCACGTTCTTCAGGGCACTTCAAGCTATAAGGCTTGAAGTTTTGGTTAGTAGTGATGTTTATTTTTTACGAAATGGGGTTGTTAGCCTCATGCCCGACCTTCCTTCTTTACCAGTTTTAAAACTGGCTTAGCGAGGTAAAGCGGTGCGTCGGTGGCAGGGGATCGAAACCCGAACCACATGCGTAGTCGGCGAGCATTCTACCACTGTACCATCGATGCACACAAGCTGTTAGTGAGCCTTATTAAGGAGGGAAGGCTTATGATCATAGGTTTTAAGCTTGTTTGGGCGTGTCAGCGTTCAGCTAGGATGCCTTGCTAACTACCCATAAATCCAACTGTAACCATAGCAGAAGCTACATAGAATGTAGGAGGGTGAGTCATAGAATTCTCAAAGCTCGCTAATATGACTGTGGACGATTTTTTTATAGTCTTCACAGACGTATAGAGGCTATTCACATTCCAAATGGTTTGATGGGGGTAACAATTTCATTGAATTCGGTGAATGCTGACTACTTCCATAGGAGCATGTGTCATTATAACGTTGCTATGCATGCTATTCTTGCTTACATTAAAGTGTTTGACTAGTCATCTTGTATTCGAGATGAATTCTTTTCAGCTTGTCTTTACACTGCATAACTGACTGAAGCAATTATTGACTGGAGCAACTACGCTTATTGACACATTAATGTATTTACTGATGGTGTGAACGGTTTACAAAGGGAGACGCCTTTCAAGTGGCTCCTCCACAGAATGATACTGATTGTTGATCTCGTATAACAGGAGGCAGCAATAGATATGTTCGGTTCTCTTGAAAACCAATACCCAGTCAGTGGGTGTACCGTTATGTGAATAAACTGGCTGATCCTGCCAGTAATCATACACTTGCCTCAGAGATTAAACCACGCATGTCCAGATACATACCTTAAAAAGGTGAAACTGCAAATAGCTCAATAAATCAGATAGGCTTCCTTAGATCATATATACTCCACGGATAACTGAAGTAATTCTAGAACTAATACACGCCATTACCTTCACTAAAACTTTTCAACTGTCGTTTAAAGCCCTAATAGTTCCATTTGGAAGGCAAACAGAATGGAGAAACCAACAAACCAACCGACCAATAAACTAAAGCTTGATAACATTTTAACACTGTACGGTGACCTATTCCTAAACTGCTGAAATTTACATTGCTATTTCTTTTATTTTCAAACAATCTAATTCCCTTATGAGACGATACTGTTCACTGTACGACAACGGAACATGTCAAGTGATCCACAACGGAAAACTCAGTAAGGCGTTTGGGGGAAACACAGGATTCAGACAAGGGTGCTTATTATCACCAATGATATTCCTAATTGTGGTGAACTGACTTGATTATGCGTCAGACAGTGAGTGGGAAACGAGAAAACAGGGAGGGATATCCTGGACCGACCGACGTGAAGAGCCTAGAAGACCTGGATTTCGCGCGTGGATGATTTATGTTTGATGTCACTGTCACACAATCGAAGACTTACAAGCGAAAACCGACCGACAAACTGGTCGGAGAAGCAACCAGCGAAGACAGAACTTCAGGTGAACATAGACAAAACGGAGGTTATGAAAATAACCAACCAAGCAACAACTACAACAGCAGCAACATCCAGCGCCAATCACCAACAACCGGAGGGATTTGAAAGAGGTAACTTCATTCATTCATTCACTTATCTGGCACTGAGCATTGTCTCAACTACAGGAAGTCAGAACGGACGAGGATGTCAAATCGAACGAGAATCGGGAAGGCGAGCGAGAAACACATTCATCAACCTGAAACCAATCTGGAAATCTTCGTCACTCAGCCAGCATCAACAACAAAATCTAGTTGGATTTTCAATACAAACGTCAAGTCAGTCACTTCTTCTATACTGATCAGAAACTTGGTGGGCGGGTCACAAAGAATATTTCCAACAGGTTGCGATGCAGACCTTTATCAACCAACAACTGTCTTCACTGGATCTATACTGAAGATCAGATGGCCGGGCCGGGCCGGGCCGGGCTGGGCCGGAAAGAATCACCAACAAGAAACTATGGGAACAAACAAACAAAACAAGAACCAGTCGCCGCTCAACAAATAAGCAGGAGAGAATGGATATGGATTGGACGCTCACTCGCTGAGGAGGCCACTGGTTGACATCGCGCGCGCGTCAGGCCATTGGTCGAGTGGAACCAGTCCGAAAGGGAAGCACGCGGCGAGTGGGACGTCAGTACAAGGGTGACATGGAGGAGATCGTGTGAAGAGGAGTTGGTTGACAGAGTGTGGACTAACATGGATGGGTGCAGGTGAAAAGTACAGCAGAAGGAAGACAGAAGTGGCAAGTGGAGACGTGCAGTTGAAGCCCTATATTCCACTATGAAGCCAAAGGAACAATAATAATAATGTAATCCTAACATAAAACGTTTACCCCTTTCTGCCAACCCCCAACCCCGAAGAAAGGGGGGATTCTTTTCAAAAATAAATTGAAATAAAAAGGGATATATTTCGGCCCAAAATAAAGTACAATTGTCAATCGGTATTATCATTGTTGCCGTGTAGATTCTTCAGCATATACACAAACTGAATGAACAACTGAATGAATGAATTAATTAATTCATAAATAAATTGGAGCAATGAAAGAATATTTTTTGAAAATGAAATGAGAACAGAAAGTGAGAAACAGAGAGACACTGAGATTTACGCTACACTGGAAGTTAACGCAGTCAAATGAAAAAAAGAACAAAGAAATATTTCGGTTGTCCGTTTGTAGTTACATGGGTATACATGTATATTTGTGTACACAATCGGCATCAATGCCAAAATAATTAAAAATAATAGTTAGCAATAATAGTAGTAATAAACGTATAAAAAAAAATTAAGTCATCCTTATTACATCATAATCAAGGAGGGAAGTAAGCAAAGTAAAGTAAAGTGAAGCTAAAGCATAAAATCTATCTATTACAAATCCCTAAGGTAAATAAACTAAAATCTGATTGTTGTTAATGTAATATTATGTGTCACTGTATTTACTTTCTTAGACATATGTATGAATATATATATATGCCATAGTAATATGATAAATAATGAAAAATAAAAGTATAGCACTCGATCGCAACAAATTAGATATATCTATATGTATATGTATACAACGAAAAATAGGAAGATTTAAAAATAAAATAAACAGCATTAAGTATTACACAAAGAATGGTTAGTTACAATAGCCATGATGACGTAATAATAATAATGAATGACGATTATAAAAGATAGCGAATATTCTATTCTTTTTTTAATAATAATAATAATCTACGATGCACAGTGTATCTGAAAGGGTTTTCTTCTCACATATTTTCTTTTTTTCTTGTGTCTGTATGTGTGTGTGTGTATGTTAAACAGAATCAATGTATTTTCACAGTTTGTGTTATATATGGCAGTGTGCTATGTGGCTACCTGTCTCAGGGCTGGTGATTATGTAACAACAGATTTTTTGTGATACTTTCAGCAAATTAGATAGAACTGAAGTAGATATATGCAGAGTCGAAAGCCAAAACAGAGCGCGAAAACGCACACACACCCACACACACACACGCACACATAGGAACTACACACTATCCAGTCCATGTTAGATAACTGACTGTTGTGACTAGAACACATAAAATTGAATTCTTTAAAGAAAATTAGAGTAAGTAGAAGGCCAGAAAAAAGAAATACAAGAAAGAAAATAAAACAAGAAATAGTAGTCATAGTATTAGTAATAAAGAGAATTTTCAAATAAATATTTTTTTAAATTTTATTTTAAAAGTAAAAATAGAAATGCTATTCATTAAAGACAAAAAATTAATTTTTGAACCATACAATCAACAAGTTAGAGTTGTTGCCGTTGTTGCCGGGTCTTCTTTCTTTTTTTCTTAATCAGAGCAGTTGAACTCATGCATAGTTATTTCTCCTTTTCTCTATCTATCCATCCATCTATCTGTCTATCTATCTATCGTTGTATCTCTCATTGTCTATTACATAACAACTCAGACTACATCTCACATAAGCATAAAGTATATTTATGCGCATATACATATAGAGATAATTTGAAATGATTTTTTAAAAAAAAGTAGAAATCAAAGCAAAAATTAAAACTAAAAAGAAAAAAATGGGCCATTTGTTTGCGTTTTGTTTCCTTTTTCGTTTTGTTTTTCAGATAAAGTGAGAAAATCACTCATTACACTTATGTATACATATATGCAATGGAAATAAAATAAAAGAGATAAAAAATGTTTTGAAGAAACGAAAGAAGACAGAAGAAATTTTAAGCACTGTTCACTCCGTCCATGCAAATTCCTGCAATGTCAAGGTTATATATTTATATATATTTTCTTTTCTTTTTTCTCTCTCTCTCTGCCTTTCTCTGTGTCACTAGGATCGAGCACATGATGCGGCTATAGCTGCTGCGCCTTTACCACTTCCATCTTCGGATAAACGTAAACAGAACTGGAAGGAAAAGAAAAATACAAAAATTAAAAGAAAGGAGAAAATAATTAACCGATTATACTAGAATTTTCAAGTATTGGTTTTGTAGGGATTTTGTTTGACTGCATGAGAGATTTCATCAGTGGTCTATGAGCTAGCTTGCTGGCCTTGTAACCAGAAGGTCCTTGATTCGACCCTTGGTGGTGGGTGCGTACTGCCTAAGAGTCCCAAACTAGACTGACGAAACAGCTGTCCAGTACTCCTACTTGGTTTTCCAGTGGTTCTCTAACTGATGTCAGCTCATGGTGAAGTCTTTTATAATAGAACTATTTTACTAACTGCTTTGCCTTTTAATGACACATTAGCTGCTTGTACGGATGCTTTGACCATTAACATGAAGTAATTTGTCAGATGGTAACTAACATTGGAATACCCCGTTACATTACTTGTGGCCGAAATGATCTAGTGCATAAGGCTTTAGTGTTTAATTCGATGAGTACTAGATTTGAGTCTCAGTTGAAACACTATCATCGCTCGCTGAGGAATTCAATTGATGAGTCCCAAATGGGATGAAATGAGCCCCGTGGATTCCACCAACCAACCTTATTAAAAATTGCATTTTCTTTAAAGGTTCAAATCATAAACTTTGGTTCTATGCAATATAAAGGGAATGAAATACAACATTAGCCTTGCAGTGTATCAAAATTCTTGTACAGTTTTGAAACAGCCTCTGTTGCCTTAAGTTTCTCACAAACACACATACAAAAACACTGAATAATGATAGAAATCTCCTAGTAATTCATCTGATAAAAACACTCAGTACAAAAAAAACAAGGGGCTACAATCTTTTTGTGAGTTGATGTCATAGGTGCATTATGTCTTTAGATCGGTTGAACCGAAACATTGGCCTTAATCACTTGTAATCTATGACACTAACTTAATAGGGACAGAAAAATTATTCTTTCTTTGAATGAAATGAAAGTTCATATCTTGCATATTCATTGAACCATATAAATGAAAATACAGTAAAGGGATAAGAGTAAAAAGGACAGGCAGACAGACGGAAAGTGAAACAAGTCAAACAAAAATAAATGCCAACATTACTTACTCGAGTCGGCTTTGGTTTCAGTTTATCAATCATATCTGTCATACGTTCACAGAATTTCGGATGAAATTTATACAAAGATCCATCAACACCAACAGTTACTTCTGGACGATTTATTCTTCGGAGAATACAAGCAATACCTAGTAATAATAATAATAATGCCATAAGAGAGCATTTTATAATGAAATATCTAGAATATATATATATATATATATATATATAGTTTTGGTCAGTTAACTTATTAGATTAAAACATTAGGAGTTTTCTATAGTTTGGTTTGTAAGGTATATGTGAATATATATATATATTTATTTTGATGACTGTTTTAGAAGTGCTTCTTTGAGTTCAGTTATATGGTCGGTTGTTTCTCTAGCTTTGTTAGTCTTACTGCATTCCACGGTTAAAAGTTTTTCAATTTATGTACGTCTTGTTTTGGAGCGAACAGAACTTTGAAGTAAGTGAACGAATTTTTAGCTCAGATTGGTTTCTTCTAGCGTTTTTGTGTTTCCGGAATGTGAACTTTGCACTGAAGATAACGCTAAAGATGCTGTTCAGCAGGAGAATGGAAGCTTCACAGTAAAACAAACAAGTTGGAAGCATAAAACAACATCAGGAAAAGATTTTGCCTATCTTCTACTTTTGAAGTGTAATGACGCAATTTATTATAACTTTAAATCCTCTAAGGATATTCTTTGGAATTATTATTAATATGCTGTAAGCTATTTTATCTTCACTAAGCAGTATAAGCGAAATCTTTCACTTGATGCTGTGGGCTAAATCTTTTGGCTTCCATGGGAAAAAAGTATCAAATTCATTTCATTCCATAACGTTTATTACCGTCAACAGTAAGAAAGAGTCAAGTAAATATTCTCAGCTTCCTAGAACAACAAAGATAAATTTTGTAGATTTACCGTTGTAATACTCATATATTACAGTAACCTTGAAATTTTTTCATTACAGCTTGATTCCACCCTGTATTTTTCGTACAAGTATGGAATTTTCAGCATGTGGTATCGGTAGCCCAAATTCTGCAGGCCAACCGTCGATATCAGGTGTGCGTCGGCATGGGATCGAATGTCGGACCATGTGGACGGTCAGCGAGATTCCTAACCATTGTGCCACCAACGCAAAAATATTTAAAAAACAAAATTCAATTGTTACTCACCTGCACCTGCTAAATAGGCTGCTCGTTTAACAACCATTTCACAAACATATCGTACAATACGATTATCAATTGGTTCAACAATAGGCACTGATAAATCTTCAGTAAGCATATAATAGGTGTTGTATAAAAGATGAGGAGGATCTCTGAAAATAAATAAATATACATATATTAATTCAATCCCATGTATATGAAAATTGTATAACAATGATAAGTATACAAAAAACTGTAATTTCCGGGATTTCATCATGATCTGACATCGGTTAGAGAACCATTGGAAAGCCTAAGGAGAACCAGAGTTGGGATCCAAGCGGTGGGTGTGTACGGATGAAAAGTTCCATAAGAGGCTGACAAAACAGCTGTTCAGTATTCTTTGCAGGTTTTTCAATAGTTCTCTAACCGATGCCAACTCATGATGAAATCCTTCCTATAAGCAATCAAATCAAATCCTTGTAAACCAACACGGGAATATCATAATTTATATTCTACACCGACAGAAAGAAGATATGATAAGTGTAATAAATATTTTTGTTTTAAATGAGTTGTGAAATAAACTCTGCGTTTTTGAAGATAATTTTTCTCATTCAGCTGAGACACTTCGTCAAACAAAGCGATATCTACAATCTTTGTTTGAATACAGCGAGCTATTGAATAGATAACTTAAAACCGAATATTAAAATGAGAAGTAAAGTTTTCCATGAGTTGACAATCCTATTTATTGTATTCTTTAGATGTATATTCAGTTAACTTTCTAGTTTTTATTATATTTGACACTTCCACTAATGTTTCTTGACATAATAACAACAAGAGAAAATTAGAAGGTTCATTTCACGAAAAATGTTCTTTGCATGTATAAAAATGTGTATATATTAGATAACTGGTGTTCCTTTCATTTTAGGGTGAATACTTCTTCTTCTTCTTCTTCTCTACTGGACCACCTAGAGCAAACCGGCCACAAAGCCTGCTTGAAGAATGTTTCTCTATCATCAACCGGGTGCCTAATAAATTACCAAAATCATCGAAGCACCGTATGCTTCAAAACAGCAGAGCCTATTGCAATTCGCCTCAAACAACCAGTGCTCTGTGTTCAAAAGAAGCAAGTCCAGCCACTACTACTGTCCTGGGCAGCTCTTAGTAGAGACTTTAAATTCATGAATTTGTAATATTATCTTTCCCAATTTTTCTGACATTCAGCTTATTTTCTGTTGATGCTATTCAGCTATAATCTATCAATATTGTTGATTCGATGTTATTTAAACAAGATGAATACTGTTCATAACACTAATTCATTCATTCATTCACTATGATGTTTATATAACTGTAGAGCCTAATAATGAAGTTATCGAAAAGAATATTCTTTGTTCAGTATCCATTCTTTTGAAAATTGTACTGGTTTGTCTCACCTTGGTTGTAGCCAGTTGTGTGTAACTTACACTTACAACAATTCTCTTTTCTTAAGTACTTAAACAACGTTGCGGTGAACTTTATGATAAATGGGATTAGTTATGCTACTTGTATGCTGGAAGTCAGAAGTTCAACAACACACTCACATACAAGAGTACTTTTTATATTGTGCCAGTACTTCAGTGGTGGCATAGCGGTTAGGACGCTCGCCTACCATGCACATGGTCCGGGGTTCGATCCCCGACCGACTCACTCCTTTACCTCTCTAAGCCAGAAATAACGCTGGTAAAGAGGAAAGGTTGGGCATGTGGCTACCAACTCCATCCTGTAAAAATAAACACTGCTACAGAAACTTCAAGCCAATAGCTTGATGCCCTATGTTCCACTGGGGAACGTGAAGAAAAAAAAGCTTCAGTGGTGGAATGCTTGCCAGTCCTGCAGAAGACCTAGGTTCGATTTCTCGCCGAAGCTGTCTGAAATCTCGTCTGGTTTACTTGCTTGCTGGCAATAAGTTAGGAAAGTCAAGGAAGACTGGGCGTGTAAGGCGTGTATATATAAAATTTTATCAGAAAACTTGGTTGACGTAGTGATCATTTTAGTTGTACTGGTAAAATCTAGCTATTCATGAAACAATGTTTCAATATGTAAAAATTTTCATTCGACAAAGCATTTTTTGCTCTTCAAAACTTTGTAATATGTCACTGATGAATATTCAGGCAAAAAAATGAAATATTCAAGGCAAACATAACAAATTTCATTCATTTGTCTACAAAATCTTACCTTTCTACATCTGTTAAATATCTAGTTAACAGAGCATTTCGTACTTGTAAGCGTTCGGGTAATTTTCCACGGAATAGAATATTTTGTTCAACTAAATAGACAAGAATATGACGGACCAGCTCTCCAAGATACATTCCAGATACCATTTTTTCATATCTATTAGTGAAAACGATAATCAAAGATTGAATAAATATCATGAAATATAAATATAACGAACACAAGATTTGTATCATAAAAGCAAAGTTGACCAACACTTAATTTCTTTTAAATTTAACTCCACAAAATTCAAAAAGATACTGCATTTAAATGATTTGCAGCGCCTAAATGTTTAAAATAAAACTATTATTTTAAAGAGTGCGCGAAAAAATCTTCTTTCAAATTAAATTTACACTTCATTTTCATATGGACTAAACTGATCAAGATTTAGTGGGATGTAAACGATTCCTTGCGCAATATCGCAAGTCACCAGGATATTAATGTCTGCTTTAACCATTGTCAGAGTTGAATAAGTCATTTCCATCTTCTAGTAAAATATAATTTATTTTAATGAACTCCTAGTTAAACTAGAACCATTTTCAATTACGGCATTGTTGTACCCCAGAGAAAGGTTTACAATGAGTGGGATTAATACATAGACAAATATAATGGAATAAATTGGTCAGCAATTTGAAGCAGCTTACATTTCATTATCAAAATTTCATATATCGAACAAAACAATCTTTTTATTACTTTTTTAATGATTGTAGAGACCTATATGCCATCTTTAATTACTAAGGGAATAAATACTGTATGATCCCCTTCCAAGAATAGTGAGTGTCACAAGAACCTTTAAACTTGATGTATCGAAGTGTTTCTTTGTCAAGATGACGCATATTTTTTAAACTAACCAACTAACTACCTTTCTCATACACACATTATACACAACATTCATGAACTAATACCCAATGACTCATTTTTCACTTTTTTCATTTAGTATACCAACCAAATCAAAAAAAATTTATCAAGTGAATTTAAAACTTCATACAAAGATTTAAAACTAACAATTGTTTTCCAGGATGAAGACTTTCAGCATCCATACACTTATCGAATTGTGTTCTCCAACAGTCTAATTCACCTTTTTCACCGAATGCACCCCATTCTGTATTGATAACAACTTCAGGTTCTTTTACACCAGTCATTAATTCAACTTTTGAAGCATCTTCAATATAGGCAACATTTGTACCAGTTCCTAAAAAATAGAAAAAGAACAAAAAACAGAATTATTGACTTTTTCATTGAACAACGAACCGGTAAAAAAAACAGTAAAGAGGTTGTAGTTTAATATGACGAGAGTTACTGTTGTTGATGTTGTGGTGGTGGTGTTGACTTTCAGTGCATTGGATACTGGAACCACCCAAAAAATAACAGTCTATTGTTATAACATGTGTGCGTCGGTGGCATAGTGGTTAGCATGCTCGCCGAACATGCACATGCTTAGGGGTTCGATCCGCGGTAGACGCACTCCTTTACCTCGCTAAGCCAGTAATAAAGCTGGTAAAGAGAGAAGGTTAGGCATGAGGCCAGCAACCCCCATCCTGTAAAAATAAACACTGCTACAGAAACTTCAAGCCTTCTAGCTTGAAGCCCTATGTTCCACTTGGACCGTGAAGGAAAAAGTAATAATGATTATAACATGTATTTAAGGAGTTAACAAGGCAGAACTCGCGTAATAAGCCTCATGTTATATTTAGTTGTGTGTTTTTTTCGATTACTGACTTTGTAGAATACATTTTAATACTAATGAAAGTGCTTACACAACTATAAGTCGTAATCCGCATTGGTTCATATCATCATCAGAACAAGTGCAGAGATATCGTTTTAACTCATGTATATATGAGTGCATAGTAAGTAGCTTTATTTAACCAAATAACAAAAAAAGCCTCCTTTTTATCTGTAGTCTTGTGACTATATACACAATCATTTTAATTACTTATTTCTAAATAAAATAAAGAGACATGTTCAATAATCATGTGCATGTTGACTTAATGGGCTTTTATTTTAGTGAGAGAACTAACTTCTTTTATCATACTGGTGACAATGATACCACAATGAGTTAAACTGAAATCATTTTTAGTCATATATGAGATAGCAGAGACTGACCTATAAGCATAATTTTAAACTTTCTTTTCGAGTAGTTAAATTAACAATAAATAGACCGATTCCTAAACAGTTATCATATAGGGATCATTTGGCTTTCAGAACGTATGCTTACTTTTAATTCATTTAATACATTATGCCTAATATACTACTATAATAGTTATTAGCTAATCAGAAGCTTAAACAATAATACACACTTATTACTTTACTGAGGGAAGGAAATTCAATTTTATTACTATTATCGCGTTCAGTTTAATAAATCTAGTGATTCTAAAGCCAAATTCCTAAGCGTCAGTCAGTGTTGTTTGTTTGTTTTGGTGTTTTGTTCACATTAATATGCATTCTTAAGACGTTAGGTCCAAAACCTCATACTACTACCCAATATCTCTTCATCTCAGTAGGCATTAAGTTCTTCAGTTTCTCTGCTGCCACACCTCTACAATAAGTGTTTCTTTATTCTTGAACCGTAGAACCAACAAACGACACTGAATCATACAAGGCTTTGATGTTCAAATATTATTTAGTGTAATTAAAGTGGTCGTTTTCAGAAGACAATGAGGATGTATATACAGTATAACTTTAACATCAAAATAGGCAAGGACTAATTTATACCACATCCTCAAGACAACTCTAGGCATGACTCTGTGTGTCGTTTCACCAGTTAACCGAAGAAATACGAAAAGGATTTTTAATAATTAGTTGTTGAGGATGGATACAAAGAGAGAATTTATATACCAATTCAAACAAAGGAATTAAACAAGAAACTGGTTGAATCCTAATGTCAAAAATGGTGATGGAAACAATTTCAAGCTAAGTTTACATCCAAAGCAAAAGTGGTTAACGAATTTACTGGTCATATTTGATATATCTCGTACATAATTATATGAATAAATAAAACGCAAAAAGAAACAAACTCTATGATGGTCAGATTATAAAATACAAAAATTCATACTGAATTGCAATCTTAAAATCAATACTCACCTACTATTAATCCTACAGCACATTTTGGATCCTCAAGGGCACATGAAGCCAGAGTACCAACTGTATCGTTTACAACGGCAACACATTTCACGTTTAGACCCTATGAAGCACAAAGTTAATACAAATTGATTCACACGTAAGCAGTAGTAATGAAGAACTTAAAATGCGTTAAAGTGATTTGCTGTTACAAAACTCAACTGGCTTTCAATGAATATTGTGGTATCAAAAACCACTTGAATTACTTAAAATACGTAAAATATTTCACTTAAATGGAAATCAAAATCTTTTCGCTTTTAAATATGTTTACTGTGCTTGATCACTTTATGATGATTGATGACATAAGACATGTTGTTACCCTACTCAGATATACTACAATAATTATGTTTAAATTCTAGTTCATCGAGAATCTTTTTTGAATAACTTGACAACATGACCTATGCCATAACTCTCTTTGCTTTTATCTCAATAAAATAACGCCTTGTACCAAGTTAATAGTACAGATGGTGTGGTGATTGACAATTTCTATCTCTGTATTGTTTAAAATACTTACTGTTGACTGTTGATATGTTTCATATATGAATTGCATTAGAATTCCGCTAAATACAAATTCCGGATTGCTGCCCTCTCTGAGTTTTGGTTGGATTCGTGTAATTCAGTCATCTCGAAATACTAATATTTCAATTACAATAAATTACTACAGATGGTCCCGTAAATTTCATGTAATCTAGGCGGCTTCTGTCGCTCCTAAGTACTAGACAATAAACAATAAACACCAAAACTCAACGTGATTAAATATATCACTCATTGGTATGTGTTCTTTATTAAAGTGAATGCAATTTTCTCATGAGCCAAGCGGTTGAATTACAATGATGTATACTTAACCCAACTGTGGAACAACAGCCAAATTAGGTATGTCACTCACACAGACTCTATACCACTCTCCTTTTTCACTTCTCACGAACTCTGTTATCAGACATTACAAACCGATGTAATTAAACACTAAAGTTATGTCAAATATAAAATTGTGCAGTGCTTAATCAGGAGAAAAGACTCTGTTCTTCCTGGCAAATTAAAATCCTGAAGTTCAAACATGGCTTGTTTGCTTCAACGTATATGGCAGTGTAAGCAGAAGTATTTCAGAAAACATACGTTGTCCAGTTGTTTTGTGCTATTTGCACGACTTAATAGTGTCGTTGCAATAGCTTAGTCTAATGTAACTGAGAACACACTATCAAACCATAGTCGTACTCAGTAAATTTAATATCATTGAAACAAATAACTTACCAATTGATCAAGAGCAACTTGAAGTAGATCAGCAACATTGTGACCTTCTACACCACTTGCACTGAAGCCTTTTGTCCATCTTACTAAAGTGGCATGAGTGAGACCTTTCTGTACACATGGGAAAGAGAATGTGAATCCAAGTTCAAATTTCTTATGTCTCATTCCATTATTGTCTAGGAAATCAGCCAATGTCTCAGCGATATATTTGAAAAGCTGAAGAAAAGTAAGGACAAAATTAATACAAATTCGGATAAAGTTTTTATATTTAAATGGGAAGTTTTAGATAAAGAAATAAAATTCTCTCCTGTATTGAAGAGAATTCCAGCAAAGTCATGTAGATAAATTGCTTAAGATTTTTTTCAATCCAGTTTATTGGTCATATTGCTTTTGAAACGGCATACACTGTAAAAGCGTAAGCTTGGGTGCATAATTCAGTGGGTATTATTTAATTAACTGATGTAATATTTCATTCACATTGTTGGCAGTTATACCACAGCGAAATAATGTTAGTAAATATTTCAAAGTTTAGGGTTTTTTAAATAAGCAGGTTGTTTTTATAAAGAAAACTAGGACTAGTAGCTATTACGACACTAATTGTGGTTCAGCAATAAGTTAAGACGGTGCTGAGTCCTTATCTTTAACCTGGAATTTAGTACAAATCAGTGTTCAGGAGATAGTTGCAAGTCTAGTGACTTATATATGACAAATAATTTCCTTTCCACTCGTTATTTTCACTTAGAAGACAGGCAAGAAGTCCTTTAGTATATACATTTTTCTAGAAAAGGAGGATGAACATTATATAAATATTATATAAATTTATTAACAAAATACGTTTCTGTGAAATGAAAGGCAGAATTTAGCACCAGGTTAAACTCACATCTTTCCCTGAGCCTGACATCTTTTCTGACGGAACACAGTAAGTTCTTTCCTGAATTCTTGGTGGTTTTCCTTTACCATCAAGTGTTACTGCAAGTACACGATAATTTGTTCCTCCAAGATCTAATGCCAGAAAATTTCCAGTCTCTAGAAAAATATGATTATCCTGAACTCAACCGTACCTGTGCCGTTCGGTGTTCGTGTAACATAAGATGGGAACATTTTAATTGATGATTTTTCATTAGTGCTCTTCTGTAACCCTAAACGCATAGCTTCATTCATTCTCTCACACAACTCTTCATAGTCAACCACAGAAAGGTCTAGTGGCTTCATAATTTCAACTACTTTCTCGAAAAGTTGCTCATTTGAGTAAACCATTTTGCTGTAGAATGGATCACGAACTACTGGTTAAATGCTTAAATACGAAGCAATAACACCATGGATGCAATTGATGTATACAAACAAAACAGAAATAGAATGTCTCGTAGTTTGAAACAACGTCAGATAATTTTGAATTCTCATTGTTCTCCTCTTGAAAGGATTTTTTCTATAGGTTTTTTTCATTTACTATATACGGCTCGTCAGCTCTTCTTATTCTGATTGAATTAAAATGTGTGTCAGTCACATAACTTCATGTTGGATCAATCTACCAGGAAAACCTGGTAAGCTCTATCTATCCATCTCTCAAGAGTTTAAAGGTGGGTTTTAAGTATTATTGTCTAGTGCCACCAGGTGAAAAATGATAGGTTCTCCTTTATGAATCTATTCCCGGTGTTCGCTGTGGCACATATAGTGGAATAATAATATCGTAACTTATCAGCTACTATGACAGGCAGTAATTCAAACTATGTGAAAGCACTCTGCTAAGAATACTGTATACCTGTGGAGTTAGAACTGACAGAAATATCCGGCTATTATACAAGAAAGTAATTGGGTGCATAAGTGGCACAGTGGCTAGGACTCTCGCCGACCGAATGGTCCGGGGTTCTATCTTCTGTCGACGCACCCCTGATATTGGTGGTCAGACTGTAAAATTTTGGCTACCAATATCCTATGCTGAAAATTCCATGCTTGTACCCAAATGCTGAGTGCAGTCAAGTCATAATAAAAAAATTTTCATTTCACTTTCGTCATTTAGACAACATGCGCTATCCATAATTGTTCAATTATCAGTGTTTCCATCTAAACAGCTTCCCGAAAACATCATAACCAAGCGTAATCCAAGCTGATGAAAAACAGATTCAGATCTAGGCTGAAAGTAAAGCAAACTTTTATCTCAAGAGGGACTTAACATATCTAAAACAGAACCGGTAGAAAATTATTTTCCAATAAATAGCAGAAATGTGCCTCACAAACTTATGATATCCTAGCAGATTTAGTCAGCCAGACAATTTACATGTATTTATGTGCCTTATATGGCACGTGAAGAAATATAGATATATTGCACACACCGTGCAGTGAGAAGTGGCAACCTGACTGTACGAATGAGCTACCTGAATTTCAATTCGAGACAGTGTATCCTGTTTCTCTGAATTCCTTTTGCTACAATCATTCAGTAATGTCCAGGATTTTCCAAATATACTCATTTACACCTTTAATTGGTTTGCAACACATCGCTGCTCATCTGTTGGAGACTAGAGAAAAAATCTAAAAGGTTATTTTATTCTTCATATCGAATAGCATTGCATTATATGATATAATGGAGTAGGCCGTTTTTATTAAACTCTTGAATGAAGAGAGTATCATGTAACGAACTGGGCTGAAAGTTATGCACGCTGTGTAAGCTTATTGTCCTGGATGACGTTATTATTATTTAAACCGCTCATACTATCACGAAGGTGAAGTGTAACTAAAGAAGTAGGAGTATGGGGAGGATGTAGATAGTTGTTATGATCCAAATATCCTGGTGCACGTGTGCAACACGTGTCTTCAGCACACTATAGTTTTAGTCTAGCAGTTGCTGGAATGTGACTAGCATTCGTGTAGACGTCTTAGAGTGCACTGCTTTCAAAATATTAATTAAGACGTAACAGGCCAAGATGTGGTATTACACAACAGCATTATCCATTATTTATTTCGTATGTAAAGAAATTTACATAACTTTTACCCTTTAACTCCGAAGTTCGCCTCTATATCTGTCGGTTATTGAGCCTCACAGGGTAAAACCACATCTCGCACAACCTGTTCCCCTTATAAGTCTGGACAAAGAAAGAATAAAAGCGTTTGCAGCAGGCCGGTACGAGCTAGACGACTGTTCAATAAAATTATCATGTTCACATAACGACATACCTAGAACCGAAACACTAAATCTTCTACCTTGCAGTTAATGGCTTAGTGTCCATTCAGTTTCAACTACTTCCGATAAACGTACAAGCTGCTGTACCATCTTATCAGCCCGCCAAGATTTGGCTACCTGAAGACTTACACTAGGATTACCTGCTCGGCACTTCACCAGACCTCCTGCTCACTGTCTAGCATGTCACATCCATCCTATGACTTATAATCATTACGAAAGTGGATCAAGGGGGTGAGTTTAGGGTTTTCTTAATCGCTTTGTCACTTTCTTATTCTGGCTGGTAGTTCGTAGTGGTATCACACTTTTCTTGTTATCCTACAAATGATCAATCTTCTCCAGTCTTAATTCTTTGACTGTTTACACCATTACGCTGTTATGTTTCTCCGGGTTTCTAACAATTACTGATTGTCAGTGTGGAAAAGTATGTTCGAATCTTTGATGCAGTCTATATTTTCGTATCATACAGGTTGAGAGGAATGCTTCAATTGACAAAAGATGGGCTCATATTATCCTGGTACATTTGTTGTTCCTGCTTCGTTCAAATCAAGATGAGACAAGAATCCTCGATCATCCGAAAGTGTAATGGTGTTTTGAAAAGTTACAGTCAAACTAATATTTCTGATGTTTCATGAAATCAACAGGCCTCTTGTAAGTCATACTCCTTAGCATTCATCGAATATATTGCGCTCTGTAGGGACTTGGATAATGATAGTTACAAACTTGTTTTTCAGAAACCCGCAGATTTGTTAGATGGTTGGTGTAACCATTGAGCCTTGAAAACTGATTTAAACAGTTATATACTGCTCATGACAACAAACAGTACAGCTCGTTTGATGATATCCTTTTAACAGGGTACAAAATAATTTGGGCTCTTCTAAAGGCCTTAGTAAAAAATTCCGTGTATTATGACCGACTCAAGTCACCTTTAATTTGAAATATGGGACGCCTGCATGGACTCAATGTTTCAGATATGATGCAGAAATTTTGGAGAGGGCTCGAAGGACGGTGAAAGAATTGGTCAAAGGATTCTCGAACCTCTCGTACGAGATGGGCTTGGTCCCGCCGTATTTTATCTCATTTCACAGACAAGTGGTTGAGGAGTGACCTCATCCCGGTATTCCTTATTCTCTGTGAATATTTGGCCGGCAAATCATCCTGTCCATCCTTCCCATACAGAACTTACCCCTCTAAAAATCAAAAACCACAAACAGATTGCTCAGAAGTCTGTCGCTGTTATGAAGTGCGAACCTGCGGAATTCTCTGGTGAACTGCGTTAGATAAGCACCCTTTTTCATTAAAAGTAAGATTTTCGTCCTTTGCAACTAAAATCCACCATCCTGGTAATCGGAAAAGAGGAATGGATTGATAAGGATATGCAGCGATAGGAAGGTTTGAAACACTAGACGTGCAACGACTCTTGAAGAAGCAGATTCAAAATTCGAGTGTTTTTCATACTCCGTATTTAGAAATCCAGTTAGATGCGTTGTTTAAACGACTTTGAGCTCGCTTCCGATTGGCTTTAACTGAAAATAGCGCCCATAATTGTCATGAACTATTTATCCATCTACATTTTCTCATTAACCACACCACCCACTGACCCCTTAGTCTGGCCCACCTTACCTGGCGGCCAGTCTGCCCTTGACACAACCCTGACTAGTGAATGAAGAATAATACTCATGGCTGTTAGGGCGTTTAGTTATCGGCTGTCATATTATGAGAATATGGGCGTACATAATTACACCACAAAGCAGCAACCACGTTGCTGTTCCTTCAAAATCCAGTTGTTCTTAGTGCGACTCAGTGAGAGCAGATAGACAAATCGTTCGTTCAAAGGGAAATGGCAAAGGTTCAGTTGCACTGATGGACTTCTAAGGCCCTCTACATGCTCTCAAATATAGTTAAAATTAAGAGGCCAGGTATATCTATATCTACCTAACATCACCATTTTACTAACAAGAATAGACGAAAAAAGAATAGGTGAAGTATGATAGATAAATAAATAAAATTCGCGTATTAAGGAATGAAATTGGCTATCCAAGTGCTATGGAGTTCAGCTTTGTAGACATTCTCACATATTCATGGGAGGCTCAGAACAAGAAATCTTCCGAAATAAAAGTGTCCCTGGCTAGAACTAGCTGCAAATTAGAGTCACCAGGTGTGACATGGCAACTTCTTCATAAACTTAAGTCATATTGTGAAACTAAGTTGTACTGTCACCCAAGTCTCGTAAACCGTCAATGCCCAGCTCTTGCTACACTGGGACTCACGCTGTTCCTTGAAGTTTCTCAGAAGCGCTTAGTAATAACGGACGCAAAACCAAAACACCGATTGGCTACTCGAGAATTCTTTACTGTAACACCAACATATAGGCAGCTTTAAAATTAAGTTTTAACTAAGGTCTATGAACAAACATTACAATAACAAATCACAATATTACTTCTGACAGTTTTGGTCTGACTTCTTTCTAAACAGCGACCGATGAGACGATGACTGTCGTATTGATGCCTCCGCGAAAATTGGGTAAGTTGATTTTGAGCAAACAACCAAGAATTGATCGTTAAATCTTCAACTCCATTGACACTCCCCGGCGAAAAAAGGATCCATCCCTTTTTTCCATCACGACCAATACACGTTGACTTGGATGCCATTGCGAGAAGCTGGGTCACACGGACAGAGCTGAAATGGAAAACAAACAGAAAAGCCAACACACCAAAAGCATACCCACAACACAATCTCACACATCGATGACGACCTGCGCCTTCCAGTTAAAGGCATCCAGATATCTACTTGACATCTTGTATTGCAATCGCCACTTGCTACAATGACTCTTGCAGAATGCAACGTGACCATAGCACCACCTCATGATACTCCACACACGTCCTCGTATCTACTCACTACCAACTACCACTGCAATCGCTTGTCACTCATTCTGCCTCAGTTCTAGTAGCGGTGACGTACGGAAGCCTCAGCCGTCTACATTCCCGCTCCCCGGCGTGTGGGATCACAGCTAATTATTATCTCCGTATGCATGTCATTCTCAGCAATAGCCTCCCCGGCGTATACGACCCATCTGCTGTCCTTA